TAAGCTTGATGTTGCCGACCTCCTCGCTATCTCGGAACCCTAGAAAGAAGGACAGGGTAACCAATGCCCACCTTCTTAAAGAGGAGGAGGCCGAAACACCAAACAATAACAATGCTTTGGAGAAGTAAACGAATACTATCCAAAGCACAATGAACAATGCCTATAAGAAATCCTGTCCCCTGAGGCTGGTCCAACACGGTCAGACGACTACCGCATGGTGATGTCACGAGTTGGATCACCTCAGGAAGGTGGCCAGGAAATCCTTTAAGACTTGAACAACAAAACTCGAAGATAACTAGATTACAATTCTAAACATAGAGAAAACAAATAATCGTCAAACAAAAAAAAAATCGTCAAACAAAAACAGAGAGATGAATCGAAATCCAACTGCGAAGAAATCGAAAATTTCCCGTAGACAGCGAAGCTTTAAAAAACTCTCTCAAAAGATCCACACATAAAAAGAACTTGGTGGATATGCTTATCTGTGGACAATAGGTAGACCTTTTTTACAAATATAATATAAATATTTAAAAAAAAAAACCTTTATTTTTTTGGCCTTTTAACCTTTTTTATATTAACTATTACATTTTAAATTTAAATTTCCATATATTATTATTATCCACAGTCATCCTCTATTTGTAATTTTTAATTAAATTGTTAACTTATTTTTAATTGTACTTACTCAATGTGAATAATGTAGGAGGTATAATTCCTTAGTTCCACACAAGCTAACTGGCTTCTGGAGATCATATATGATTTTTTAGGGGATTATCCCACGCTCACTATCCCCAACATTGGGTTATGTCAAGAGAACAAACAGAGGTTTGTTCTCTTTTAATTGTTAAATTGTTCAAAATTACCTTATCTTTTACCTTTTGATTGTAAGGTCTTACTTAGATTTTATTTTTACACGCATTTACAGGTTGTATTTTTTCATCCACAATTTTTGTAGATAAGCACTTATCATGGCACCTTGCCGAAAGCGCTTTGTAATTAATTATTAAACATTTTGCACCAAATACAAGTCTTTCCTTTTTATACCTATTTGAGCAATTCTCTTGTTTTTAAGGATTAATTGCCAGGTCTAATATAATTTAAGAACGACCACAATCACTCCGAGACTTTCGAATTGCTTTCGTATTTAAGACCTGCGAAAAACGTTAAAGAAATATTTGAAGCATATTTTAGCGATGTTCTTGGAGTAAAAGAAAATTCAGTAACCGTTGCTTGTGACTCAATGAATCCACCAAAACATGTAGTTAATATTTGGTACCAAAAGTGGAAAACTTCTTATTTGGGACCAATAACAGTCCCGGTATTATTGAAGTAATAAGTGGTTTAAGTAGTTATAATTAACAATAATTATAATATAAATTTCAGGTTCTTCGACAAAAGCATACTACATATAAATAGCAAGGAATAATAGTAGAAATTCAAGAGGAACCATTTGAAATTGTAATAATAACTCCTATAATACAAAGGGCCCACAATTTGCCATTTGCTAAAGATATTGCTTTTATGGACAGCACATCATCTTGCGACTCTGAAAACCACACACTAACGTTCCTTTTGACGTCTTGTCATATAGGAGCAGTGCCACTAGCCGTCATTATAACAAAAGGTCAACTTACAGAGGATTATGTAGCTGGTTGTAGTTAACTTAAACGTATAATGCCAGCAGCATTTTGCTTCCAGCAATATCCGAAAGTAATATTTACTGATGACAGTGAGTCAGAGAGACAAGCTATAGATTTGGTTTGGTCAGATTCAAAAGCTTTGTTATGCCGATTCCACGTATGTCAGTATGTTTGGCGTTAGGTGTGGGATAAACATAACGATGTTATTTAAGAACACCGGCAAATTTTATACAAATTGTTTAAGGACAGCTTAACAGCAGTATCAGAGTCCAGTGCATTTGAAGCTTATTGCTTTTCCATAGGAGATACTGAAACCCTAGAAATTAAAACAGTAGTTTCGCGTTATCCAATGTAGATAACGTATATTTCTAATTATTGGAAAAGACGGGAAGATTGGTCGCTGGCATTTAGAAATCCATTGACTCATAGCCACCAGACTAATAATTTTAGTGAAGTTAACGTCAGGCTTTTCAAAGACATTGTCTTATTAAGAAACAAAGCTTACAATGTAATTTCATTAGTTGATTTCGTCTGCACATGAATGGAGAAATATTATAAAAGTAGACTTCGTGATTATTTCAATAATAGACAAGTAAAAACAACTCTTCTTTTGCGAGGTCAATTACTGAAATGTTCCTGTTTAAAAAAGAAGATAAAATTAAGTTAGATGAAAATTTCTACAAGGTGCCAAGCGAAAGTAATCCAGAAATAATGTTATGTCTATTTCATTCTATGCGTCATTACGAGCAACAGAAATTCCATCAACATCTGCTTTGGATTCTGATTCTGCACCAAATAACAAAAGAAGCATAGATATTAAACTAAAAACAAATTTGCTATCAGTTTCAGAAGAAAATAACGATTTTTTAAAAATAGAATTTCCGAAACTTATAAATTTACTACAGGCTCATCAAAATACATATGGCACTTCTCCAAAGATAATAAATATGTGCATACAACGCTTGAACAAAATTTTGACTCGCACGGTTTGGGATTCTTACTTAGCTACTGCTAGTGGTTATTTCCCTAGAAGATATACATCCAGAGCCACAATTAAAGTACAACCTACAACAATAAGCCAAAGAACGACTTTAATTCAAAGAACAAAACGTTTCACAGGTGGTCGACCGTCGAAAGATTCTTCAAAACGAAGAAAAATCAAACGACCGAGAAATTTGCATATTAATGTCCAAAACGCAACAGGGAATTGATTTGTATTGGCCCACGAGTTATTCATTTTTTGTTCTTGTTAATTTGTTTATGTAGGTACCTTATTCCTATCGTTTAATAAAATGGTGTTAATTAAACATTGCGAGTGATCATTATTTCCATAGAAAATCGCGCTTTTTGCAGCTTTTAGTTCCTTCTTTGATCTCGGCACTCTACACTCATATCCGGCCGTGATCTCGGCACCCACTTAGCCGATACAATACAACCAATCAGAACTTTTTATTTTGGCTGTGGTGCCGAGGTAGATGACGGAATTAAAACATGCCTCCCGTAGACTCGGGCACAAGCCGCCACTGATTTAGTATGAGTATATTAGTGTGAATTTCCAAGCATAATTTAATTTAGAGAATTCTCGTTCCTCCCCTAATTAATACAGTTTTCTACATGAGTGTCGGGTCTAAATGAAAATGAATGGTCTTTTTTTTTATTTCCGAAGCAAATCTGCAATAAAAAAATATTTAATTATAGAACGTCGCTAGTATTTTGACACCCATTAAAGTTCTAATGGTCCAATATATAGTGGAATTAAATTACGAGGAGATAACAAACAAATTACAACCAATTAGGATAAACGAAATTTTATTCTCAGTGTTCGATGCTTTTTTACAACAAATGGCTTAAAATAATTGAACTACACAGTCGTAAATGTGTAAAGGGAACTGAACTGGTCAGCCATAAAGATAATCGATTTGGTTTTGTAACGAATTGTACTCGCAAGCATCACGTTTTTAAAAAAATGAACTTATTTAGTTAATGCCTATTAACATTTAACGAAAAAGAAAAAATGTTATAATCGTGTTTGTAGTTTTATAATAATGGTTTTTGCCCTTTAAAATATAATTTTTATATTTCTTATTTTAAATTCTTGATTTAAAAAGATATTGAATAAAAAAATAGTTCGATCGAAACTAAAATTAAAAATACCCCTGAAACTTATGTAAATAAACAAGAAATTTGTCACTGAATCTGCTCACTGTACAAAGTACAATGACAGATTGTGTGTGACAAAAAATACGACAAAATAAAAATAAATAAAACTTATAACAATACAATAGTAAAAATTAAAAAATATGAAGCAATTAAAATACAAATTATTAATATAAATAAAAGTTATATAAGTACACTCTTTACACTTTGATAACAAGTAAAGTTTATTTCCAATATACCTCGGCATAAGTATCTCATACAACGAACATAACTTCTACATAGACAAAGAACATTTTTAAAATATTCAGATTCTTTAACGTTTATAATATACTTTCCAATTATTTAATTTCTATTTTTTTTTATTTGATTATATTACGGAAAAAAGTTCGCGGTGTTTTTATTATAAATTCTTTTACATATCATTTAAATTTTTTTACTGTTTTTATTTCTCGAAGCTCCGTTGGAATGTTATTAAAGATTTTTGGTCCCAAAAACCGATAGCTATTTTGTCCAATTGATTTATTCGTTCGTGGTAGCAAATAATTGTCTCTATTTCTTGTATCATGTTGATGCAACGGTGTTTGCAGATCATCTTGATTTTGAAATTGATAAGTGAGTGCTGCTTGACAGAATAACTGTCGTAAGTCAAATATCTGGGTTTCTTGATACACATTTTCAGTAGGATATCTTCAATTTTTGTTTAGCATTATTTTTAAAAAACTTTTTTGAATGATCTCGATTTAAGTGCGTTTTAGTGACTCCACCCCAACCTATTATTCCATAGTTGAGATGAGATTCGAAAAGGCTATGATACAAAATTCTCTTCTGTGGTAATTCTAGCATTGGTGATATTTGTATGAATTTAAATAAGACACTACGTAATTTGTTTAGTAAGTATTGAGTATGTTTGTCCCAGCGCAAGTGGCTATCTACTATTATCCCTAAATATTTAGTTTTATTTTCAGGTAGTATATATGTGTCGTTCTCGATAGCGATATTTTGAAATTGAGGAAGACCAGACGCTAGACTGCAAAAAGGTAGGTATACTGTTTTTTTAAAATTTATAGATAGTAATCGGTAGTCAAACCATGTTTTTATTTTGGGGAAATCCTATTTTATAATAAATTAGTATGAAACAAAAAAATCAAATTTATTTCTATGCAACCAATGACTACATTAACCTATTAGTAAAAAGGGTTTCAAAATTTAAAGATTCTTGTATGTCGTATGCTGGTCCTGCCCGTATGAAATGTCTCTAACAGCAAAACATTGGGTAAATTTAGATTTTGGAAGGTGTAGTGCAGTTTTTAATTCTAAAATTTCTAATTTGGTCTTGTAATTTTGCAGTTTTAGGTATTCATTTTGCAAATCAAGCTTTTCTTTGTTCTTGTCATCAGATTTTTTTTCTCCTGTATACGTCTTGATACGCTTTCGTTTCTCTGCAAAATTATTTGACGATCAACACAATAGTTCTGTATGTACAAGTGCACAAAGTGCAACTTTTCTGCACACGACTTGAAAATTGTCGTACGAAACCGAATGTTGAATTTGGCAACACGGAAGTACAAAAAAAGACTTTTTGCATGTGTTTCGTACATTTTATAGTTTTATACGATCACTTTAGCTATAAGTAATGTATTTTAACTGATTTGTTTGCGTAAATCCAAAAACCAAACTTTATTGAACTATATTTACTAAAAAAAGCGGCGCTTTATTGTACTAGTTGCAATAAAATTTTATTGCACTTATCTGTCACTATAGCGTTTTGTCATCATGACAAACATGTAGATACTTTCAAATCGACGCCATTTTTAGTCTACCTAAATAAAATATTTTTTGTTTTTTGCATGAACGTAAAAAAAATATTGTATGCAACTCATACCCAAAGTGTTTATTGTACGTGTTGTCAAACGGCCTGACGGCATCGTTGGACAATTTTTGCGTTTGTTGGATAAATAACTATTGTAGTACCTACTAGTACATCAAAGTGTTTTCTGCACTAAAAACTACTCTGATGCACTAGTCAAAAAAGAGGCACTTTTTGCGCTCGTACAAATCTATTTTATAAACCCACCTATGCAGGAAGTTGAGGGCACGCCAGGGTCTTGCGTTAATAATGTTGGCTGTTCTATTGATATGCTGTCCTGAGGTAGGGGTTCTGCATCGTCCAACGATTCTGGCACCCCAAGACTAACAATTACTGGAGACTCCTTTTCTAATATATCTAGCACCATATTATCAACATCGTTTATTTTTCCATTACCGCCTGTACCCGTTTTTCTGGCATTATCTACTTTCGCCTTAAAATAAAAACTATACAGGATATTTCAGAATAGAGTACCGAAAACTAGGAAACATTTAGACTTTAAATAATTATTAAGAAAAGTTAAATAAAATTTACTGTAAACGTCCCAGTTTTCATTCTACAGGGCGTAATTTTAAGGTGGATAGCTCTTAAGATACTCTCTATACGTCTAGCTAACCTGTACGAGTAGTGGGTAAAATTACAAATTATACGTTCTTACTTACCATCGTAATTTTATTCATATTTTGCTATAGTTTATCTCTTGCATATGTCCACTCTTTATCTAAAGGCATATAACAAGCGCTCTTTGCTAAATTTGCCAATTCTTTCCATTTTAAAACTTTGTCTGATTTTTTCAATTTTTCGAAAAAGGCAACGAACAGAATTTCTTTATTTTCTTTAACGTTTTTTAAAAAATGCATTTTTCTCCCGATTGTTACTTGTTTGCTAGCCATGGCTACTACATACCAATATTATTTTGTTTACAAACGCAGAAAAAAACACGTTAAGACACGTTACAGCTGTCACGTCTCCCGTTGTCAACAAAGTAAAAATTTAAATGATTTAACTCACAGTAAACTTGGGTAGAATCTTCTCACTGATACATTTACAGTATATGAAATTAGATTGTGTTACAATAAAATGGGGTACTTGTAGGTATAAGCGAATTACTAATAAGTTGTAAACTTGTTATTATTGTAAGCATTGTGTTATAGACCCCAGAAAGTCAAGTACAGGTCAGGTTACTCCTCAGGTTAATTCCTGAGGAGTACCTCTGAACTTCTCTACTGTTTTTATTTAGTAACAAACTTAGGTACAGGTCAGTTAAATATCTGAGGAGTACCTCTAAACTTTCATTTGAAGCTATGGTTTTTGTGAATAAAGAAGTTAAGTACAGGTCAGCCAAATATCTGAGGGGTACCTCTCAACTGATTGATTTTAATTTTGTCTCCTTAACACAAATTTAGTGAAATCTTTTTAGATAATAAATAAAGTATAATTATTAACATCGTGCAAACTCCATGTTTTATAAATGTAGTCTGGTGAATGGTATGGGGAATCTGAGGATTCACAATCACAGAAATAATGGGTAAGTTGTACTGTTCTGGATGGGCGGTGGTAGAAAGTAATTTTTTGTTCTTTGTTTTTCCTTTATATTTTGTTGCCTAAATGATATATTCACTGCCAAAAATCTACTATTTTTGTTTTTTAACCACGCGATGGCTGGTGGTAAGCATTTAGTGACTAGTATAGTCAAAAATGCTAAAAGGATACTGCTGAAATCCGAGGAGCATAGCTTTTATTTTAAAATTATTTTAAACATATTAATTAAAAAATGTCGGACGGATATTGTTGATATCCGAAGAGCAGATTGTGTTTTCAATTATTTTAAAGTCTTGAATAAATCTTAAATAAAGTGTTAGAAATAATAAGACATGGGATGTTCTGTCACTAATTTGAAACAATGCAAGGTTTTTTTCTTGTCTCAGAAAGTGACGAGCGGGCGCAGTTTGTTGAATTGGAGAGTTGTGAGAATGAGCCGGAAACTTTATCGAAATAATTGGCATGGGAAGAATTTAGCAGGTAATCTTGTAATTTTGTTATTTTTCTTTGATATATCCTTTCGTTTTGTTTAATATTTTTATAAATTAAAATATTACAAATTAATAACCAGTCTTTATATAAAAAAGAGAATATTTGGATAGCGAAAAATAGATCAGTATGGCCATGTTAGTGGGTGAACACGTTTTTGTGTGATTACTTGCTGTAGTACTGTAGAGAACATCGGCAGTCAAGAGCGGAGTATTCTGCGAACTGATGCGGTAGCGAAGTACCGTCGGCGCTTCTCCAGGAAGAACGATTTGAGTCGCCTTGAGTGTCCACTGTAATCAGCTGTTCTATCGATAATCATGTGGTAACTAAATAATTGTTTGACTTGATAATTAATAACATACTATATTGATTATTTTAATGAATATTTTATAAGCCGTTTCATTCGTTTCGTCTGTTTGTTTTTAAAAACACCAGACGTTACTTGACACTTAGCGACCCATCTATAAACTCCGCTGATAATGCATTTTGTTAGGTGATATAAAATCTTTGTCATTAATATTAAAGGTGAATCACTAACATACTTACAGTTTTTGAAGTAATATCTTTATGGAAGACATACCTGAAACAAAACAAAAAAAAATAATATTTCTTGGTTTGCTTGAAGAATCCAATTTTTTAAATATTTTTTGTATACATTATAAGATGGTATATTTCGTATCTCTTCTGGAACTAAAAATATACATTCTTGGTGTAAGATAATTGCCTGTCTGTTGTCCTACAGATTTTTTAGTACAAGAAAAACAAACAAATGTTTATGCGATGCCAAAACAATTTTTGATGTTTCTATAAATTAAAGAATTTTAACAAAATATAATTTGCTTAAATCAAAAACTTTTAATTCCTTGTACAAGGAATTACTAGAATATTGAATATCTTTGTTGCAGATAATACCAAAAACCAATTTTTGCACCACATGAACATCATTCAGAAAGTTGTCGTGTATTCCTCCCCAGCCTATAATACCATAAACTAATAACGACTGTACTAGAGAGAAATACTTAGTTTTTAGAGCTTTTAAATTTAAAAAATTATTTAATTATCTCAATTTTGGAAATATTTCTCTTATTTTATTAATAAGTTGTTTGGTATGTAAATCCCACCTCATATGCCTATCTATAAGAATTCCAAGATATTTTACTGAAGTAGATTCAGGGATTTTTATATCTAGGCCTACTTTTAAAGATCCCATGAAAGGAAGACCACTAATATAGCCGCTAAACGGTAAGTAGCTTGTTTTTTATAGTTTATTGTAAGTTTACTATATTAAAGCCAATTTGCTATATTTAGAAAGTCACTTTCAACGTTTTGTTTTAGGTTATCTTAAGAAGAAGAAGACGTGTATATGACAGCCATACCATCCTCGAATCTAAGAAGTTAATTTTAAAATAAGAAGGCTATTTATATATACAGAAAAAAGGATCGGGTCTAGCACGGTTCCCTAAGGAACTCCAACAGTTATTGTTTGTAAATCACTTCTAGTATCTCTAACTTGAACGAGCTGCTGCCTATTTATTTAATAAATAACTTTTAAAGGTATTATATGATTTACCTCCAACTCCATACTTTTGCGATTTTTCTAACAATTTCATGTGATAAATAGTGTTGAAGCATTTGAAGAGTTCTAAAAATATACATAAATGGATACTTATTTATCCAAATAGTCATAAATTGTTGATGTTAGTTTACAAATGGCATCCTTAGTAGATCGACCCTGTCCAAAGCCAAATTAACGATCGGATAATATGCGAAACTTGTTTTGAAATTTGCAAAGGCGTAATTTTAAATTTTTTTTAATTATTTTCAAATTAATCTGGGATAGATGCTTTATGCAGGTATCGCAGTGTCGTCTATATGTCAGCACATTTTATTCTTTTTTGTCTTTGATTTTTATAATATGCCATGTATATTGTATATACGAGAGATAACAAGACAACCCTTTTGTGGCCCATCAAAACATGGAACTGCCTTTTGCCCAAGTTTGATTATAGCCTCTGAAAACCAAACTTTTTTCATCTTTATAAGAGTCCAGCGTGTTAGGCACTCAGATAAAATGTTATATAAGTAACTGTCAAGATTTGTTTGGTTGCATCATGTTCCCCTTCCTATACAGTTTTGCTTATATACTTTGACAATTGGTTCCGGTCATCGCATTGGCGAATTTCAAATTAGGTGCCCGAATTGACAATTGTACCATGTCATCCCATTGGCGATTTTTAATTTAAGAGTCGAAATAATTCTTGCTGACCAGTTGTACTCGAGATCCATTAGAGAAAGATAGAAAATTATATACAAAACGTGGCCAAACAGTATCGTCTCTTTAGGTAGTTCAGGGTGCGTAACCTTTGTTTGGATTTTATTGTGTTGTGTACATGTAACTTTTCACATGTAGGTAAAAAGTGCTTAAATATTATTAGATTTTTTAAAACATCGATTCGTTTTTGCCGTTTATACCATATATTAATATGGTGTATACTGTGTATATATATATCCTTTTTAAATCTTAAATTATTATGTTTAGATTTCCTGGATATCCTGAATAAAAAACCGTTGGTTACAGGCCCTAGGAATATCACCAGAGATAGGGATTAATAGTAGAATTTACTCTATACATTTTAGAAAAACTGAATTTACTTTTTCTCCCGATGGTAGAGTATTTTTGAAAAGGGAGCTAAACCTACTAAAACTTCTAGATAGGCATATTAGAGACGGGATATTGGTTCAAAGGCCAATATACTAAGACCAATACGCCTATAGTGCAGGGAAATCAACTGAAACAGCTCTCCATCAACTAATAAAAAGGGTGGAGAACACACTGGAAAACAAGGAGGTAATGCTGGGAGCATTCTTGGATATCGAGGGTGCATTCGACAATACCTCCGTTGAATCGATCATTATATCTCTCAAACACAGAGGAATCGAGGACACATGCGTCTCCTAGATCGATTCTATGTTAAGGGAGAGAACTATACACACAACCCTTATGGGAGAGATAACAGCGGCACAGGTAGCGAGAGGATGTCCACAGGGTGGAGTGCTGTCTCCACTTCTGTGGAACCTTGTAGTGGACGGGCTGCTTAGGGCTCTCAAAGATAAGGGACATAGAACCCTGGGATATGCCGATGATCTAGTGATCATGGCACAGGGAAAATACAACACTATAGTAAGAGATCGAATGCAAGAGGCTCTAAATGTAGTAACAAAATGGACAGAGGCGGGAGGACTAAAAATTAGCCCAAACAAATCTGACATAATTGCATTCACCCGCAGGAGGAAATTGGAGGGACTAGGGCCTCTAAACCTAAGAGGTGCAAGCAT